GTACGAGTGCCGCCGCCGGTGCTGCTCCGCCGTCCTGCTGCGGCTGTCCCGCGCGCGCTCCCCGCTGGACGAGCGATCCCTCCGGTGGCGATAGTGTCCTCGGTCCACCTTTCGGAGGCTGCTGATCTTTTCCTTAACCGGAGAGCGGTCCGGGGCTTTTGGCCCAGGCTTCTGTTCCTCGCGCGGCTCGCTGGGGCTCTGTTCCGGGGCCCCGTCTGAACGACTTTCTGCGACCTTGTCGAGCTGAGCGGTGGGTGGCTCGTCTGTAGATGCCCCCGCGCCTTTAGAGAGGTCCTCGGCGTCCGTGCACTTGTCTCGGCTGCTGTGAACGGAGGGTCCCTGCTCGCTGTTACCCGCGGGATGTGACGAGGGACTCAGGCTCAACCTCCCCGTGGTTTCCATGGCTACCGAGTCCCGGGGACTCTCGACCGACGTCCCTTTCACATCCTGGGCGGCTTGGCTCGGCTCGCTTGTTAAATCCCCAGGGTCGCACGGCTTGGCCGGGTGGCCGTCCGCGATGGTGCCCGGGCTGGTGTGGCAGAGACGGTGGAGACTCGGCAACGACTCCTCGGGTTTCGCCGAAACGTTTTCCGAGCCTTCTTCTTTGGCAGGTTTGGCGCCGGGGTCCGCGGGCGGCGCGGCCTTCTTCAGTTTGCTGCTGAGCCCCGTGGCCGCCTCCGGCCTCTCCTGGGCGTCGGGGGACGGGCTGCCCGGCTCCGGTCCCCTGCCGGTGTCCTCGGCGGGGCTTCCCTCTGTTCCAGTCGCACTGCGGTCAGGGCAAGACAGAGACAAACGGATTAATCACTCCCTAGATCGCCGTGTGCATGTTGGTCACGCGCTCACAGGGACAAACGTGCCAAAACATTCATTCACTAAGTATTCGATGCCTCTAACGAATCTGGTTGAAACCCCATAGGGGGCTTATAGTTTTTGGAAACTGCAAATTTTCTCTCCTCCTCATTAGATAAAATGTGAAATTGGACATCAAGCCTATTTCCTACCCCGTTTTTCAGCAACGAGGGCTCCGCGCCTCGGTTCTAGCTCCCTCCGTTTTCGGATGGACTGCTGCTCCCCCTGAGTCTCACCTGCCGGCCCCCCGAGCGCAGGCGCGTCCCCTTTCCCGGGACCCCTCCTCCACCTCCAGAGCCAACGGCTCCTGGGATTACTGATACTCTGAGGGATCGCCGAGGCTTTTGAGGCTCTGGAAAAGCGTCTGCAGTAAAGGACCCTGCCTCCGAGTGCTGAAGGGCTTCTGATGTATTCTCCAGGTGAATGAAAGCTGCCAGCAAACAGCAAAAACGCTGCAGCGGCCCCCACGTCTCAGCGGGGAGATGGCCGGGAGAGCGAGCACGCATGAAGCCGACACGCATCGGTGTCCAGCGCGTGGCGGTCAGACCCACGCAGCACACAATGCAACACGCATCTGGTCACAATACAGGCCCGGCTTTAAGTACCTGTGGTAACTCTCACGCACGTCACGTTTGAGAACTAAGCCAAACTTGGAAAGAAACAAAGTCATCGTGCAGGTGACTGAAGAGTGAGGTAAACCGGGAGGGAGGGTCTCTGCCGACGGGACGGACTCCGTCCCATGGTAGCGAGGAAGGCTTCCCAGCAGTGCTGCCACTGGCGAGGGCACACCACCGGCCGGGGCCATTCTGAAACGTGGGGTGCATTCCCGGGTCATCACACGATCAGGAAGCCCCACTGGCAGTCCCAGGTAAGGAGTAAGGGTTCTATGACCCTCGTCCTGACATCCGGTGGGTGAAACCCCAGTGATAGTGGCAGTTTTCAGGGACAAGAGAACTTCCAGGAACTTGAGTCCCATGTAAACCTAGAGGCGGTCAGAACCCACCCACGGCTGTCCCAGGAGGGTGTGACAGCCCCGAGGGTGAGCTGCGTGGGGCGCACAGCTCCCGACGGCAGGTCACATTCTAAGCTGTCGCATTCCCAGCAGCAGCACGGGTGGCCTTACCGCCCCCGGGAGCAGGGCGGTCTCAGCGCGCAGACCGAAATGCCACTGCATCGTACAGGCCTCTCCTTGTACTTCCGTGACGTGACGTACAGATCCATACACTGGATTAAACCACGACGGAAAAGGGGAACTGTGGAGGTAAACCGCCTGACCCACGAATTTCATTTCAGAATCCTAGAGCGAGAGTCGAGAGCCCCTGCCCTGTACCCTTCACACGTCTTCGTATATTGGCCATTAAAAGGATTAAGCGTGGCAGTGCCAGAGGTCAGACGCGGCCGTGTGCTAAGGACGTCCCTGCCCGATTCCAACCCCATCAAAACATCAGGTTTTCATGGACTATCAGCCCCTCACAAATGTTTTCTTCACTTTTCTGAAAAGCAAATCAGCTTCGTAGATCGTTCAAATCATCCCCGGATTCGGAAAGGTCACCGTGAGACGCCCACCGTGGGAACGCGGCGACCCGCCCACAGGCAGTTTCCTTCCTCATTAAGTCGTAAGTTTACCTGGTTTCGTCTGTCGAGCCTTTCGCTTTGTTGCTAAGTTTGAAGGTCTCTAAGATCGTGTCTTCTGGAAGGGGCGGCAGAGGAGCAGGCATCAGCTGTGAGAAAAAAGAAACGAAGATATTTCCACTATCGTTGTGGCTGCACGCAAAATCTGGCCACGCACCCTGCCCCGCGAGAGGTGAGGCGAAGCCCGCCCCCCCCTCCCCCCCCCCACCC